TTTAGAGAGTCTAAATAATATTATATTTTATTGACAATGATTAATATATAATACTATTAAAAAAAATATAATGTATTACAAATATTTATCTCCTTGACTTTAATAAGAATCTTACAAGATAGTTTGGTTATAATATGCTACAATTTCTCTTACTTGAAGTAAGAATTCATAGAAAAGAAAATAGAATTAAATGTCTAATTGAATTGAATTGAAAGGTGACTGTTTTTTGTCTTTGTATTTGATCATGAGTTAATCAATAGAATCATAGAAAAAATGATGTCGCTCATTGATTGATACAAAATATTTATAGATGAAGAAAAGAATAGATTAATGTGATTTGTTTGCAACATAAGAAAAGAGATTTTATTTTGAGATGTTATTTAGAATTATATAAGGAATCAGAGATGTTCAGGGTATGGGTGGGTGCTGTGTGGGGTGTGGTTATTGTTACATAATCAAAAATCCGAACCCGTACCCACGCCTAAACACCCACAACCACACCCTAATTCTAATTTTACTATTAGTGAAAGTTTTCACCTATAAAAGTATCAAACGATTATAAGGGTTTCTTTATTTTGCAAAACAGCCTATTTTTTTTAATTGGTAGTCTAACTTCATTTAAATGACATTTTCAAAGATCAAAACTATTTCTTTCTCATTCAGCATCAAGAACTAGAAAACTATATTTACATCTAAATTATGCATTTATTAAAATCTGCCTATCCTTCTTTAGGCAAGTCATCGATTTTTTAATTTCTTTGATATCATTATGATTAGTTTGATTTTTTCATGTCTGTTGTTTTCAACTTCCAACACAAAACATTTCATTATACGATCTCTGAGATTCGTTTCAATGATTTTTTTGTCATTTCTTCCTTCATAATGTATATTAATGAATAATGATTAATATTCGAGAATTTAATTTGATAATAAAATAAGATTGAATTTCAAAACTGAATGAAATGTTTTATGGAAAAGAAAAAACCTTGAATAGTTAATGATAGAAAAAGAAACGTACATAGTTTTAATAAAATAAAGTTTGAAGACGGAGAATGGATAAATGATTTGAATTAAAAAAAATAAAGAAAAGTTTATAACAATAATATTTATAGATCTTTTTTGTTGTCATTATCATTTGAAATGATAGCTTTAGAAACATCCGTTCAATTTTCATTTGAAATTCTTTCGTTTTTGGTAGATGTTTTTTCATCATTTGTATTTGGTTTCGATTTTTTCTTTTTTTCAGAAGTTTGTTTTGGTTTGCAATCTTCATAAAGATCGTCGATATCATCTTTATATTTTTGTTCAATGGCTTTTCGTTTTAATTTGAATGCATCTGTAACAAGACCAGTTTCAGATGTCCATAATTTTGTGATAGTTTTAATATGTTGTGGAGTTTCAAATCTTTCAATTCCACCTTTTCTACAAGCATCTTGTACTTCTTTAAGAACTAATTCAATAAATTCATCATCGCTAACTATTTTTTGTCATTCTTTTTCACGAAAATGTCTTTCAGTAAAACTCTACATAAAAGGAAACAGAATTAAATATTTAAATGTTATCGATCTAATTGGAAAAATCCTTCCTCAAATAATTCCAAATTCCCACATTTTAAAGACAAAATTCTTTTGTGAAATCTATCGAAGTCTATTAATGTTTGTAAAGTTACATCAGGATCTTTCATTGTTTCGATGATACTTTCACGCTGCCCTATGTGTGTAGGTGTGGGTGTGGGTGTGAGTGTGCATGTGATTGAGTTCAAGACCCAGATCCACACCCACAACCACACATCCACACCCACACTCACACCCGCCCGCACCCACACCCATCCACATCCACACCCACCCACATCCACACCCACCCACATCCACACCGACACCCACCCACATCCACACCCACCCACTTCCACACCCACCCACTTCCACACTCACACCCACACCCACCCACACCCACACCCCACACCCCACACCCACACCCACCCCCTAATGAATTATTTTGTCCAATAATCGAACAACATTTCAACATGTGAAACTTGGTTATATACAACTTGATTAATCTATTTTATAAAAATGTTCACCTTGTAAATGTATAGATACTAAGAGAGATAATGAGAAGAAATGGTGTATGGCATAAAGCGACGCCATGGTACGATTTATTTCTATGACAATCAGTGCCTCCGCTGTCATCTATCGAATGGGACTGGATTTAATTGAAAAGCAAATACACAGTTTCTAAGAGTCTATTTTAAGTAATTTCTATCATATTTTTATTTTCTGATGTCTCTGTTAGAACCAGATGTCGCCATACGTACTGCATTCGACTTTGATTAGCTTTTCTCCCATTGCTTTACATCACCAGACCGCGTACTATATTGTTAAAAAGATTATTTTCAAATAGGAACAAGTTAACAAATAACTGAAAATATGAACAAAGAATTCTTATTTATGATTCTAGATAATTGATCATCATATGAGAAAAGTGATTCTTTATCGAAAATAAAAATCTTTTCATTATTGATATATATCAAATACAAAGGACATCATTGTTAATTTCATCTTAACGTCGATATTTATATGAAATATTCTTAATAGAGAATTTTATCATAAGAAGAACCTTCATTAACTAATCAATCAACTTTGAATTTGAACTCTATGCATGAGGTAGATTCTAGTGAGATATGATAAATGATCAAATGATAATTCTTCTTAGCTCCTCTCTTCAGACTTCTAGGCATTTTAATCGAATTTTAATCTGTCTAAATACATAATAACAAACTAAATATCGATTTTTTGACATGAAACTTTGCTTATAAATATATCTACGTGTTAGTAGAATATTCTACAAATTTCAGTTAAAAATAATGATTTCTTCTCTAATATTAAATAGCTTCTATCACCACCATTATCAATAATCAACTTCAATTGAATAGGTTGTTTACAATTATTCTTATTATTTCAGATAAAAAAAATGTCAAAAATCAAATATAATTTAAATTATATATATATGTTTAAAAGATTACTTTCAACAAATAATTCAACATCATTATCGGCACAATTGAATCACAAAATAAAACACCTAATTGATGGAAAAAAATATAATGAAGCATTAGATATTTTTGAAGAAAATATACAAAAATGTTCACATTATACTATAAACATAGCAATAAATGCTTGTAGTATAATAAATGATTATCAACGTGCCATGAACATCAAGAAAAAAATTCCATCAAATTCATTTAAAGATTCTTATATTCAAACATCATTAATTAAATTATATAGTGAGTTATTGATTTTATCAATCAGAATATGATTATCGAATAATAGAAATTTATGAATACTCCTCCGATGAATGAGAACATTTTTTTTTTGCAATAAAACTTTTTTTACTATTTATCTCTTCTACAGAAAATAAAAGTTCTATGATTATCGATCTCGTTGATGCAAATAAGAAAACTTCAATTTCTCAGATCAATCCTATAGACTCATTGTTTTTTCAACGATACAAATAATATATATTTTTTCATATGCTTTTATAAGAATATTAGAATTGAGCCAGTAAGAATTTGTCAATCGATAGTTCTTAGAAGTCTTAAGCTAGGTTTTTCGAAGATTGATTTTCCTTCATAAAACAAACACAAAAATCATGACAGATATGCATAATTGATATAACTTCAAATTATTCATACTAAACATTTGACAAAAATACTATAATTTAGTGAATGTGGATTGTAATCTATAGATTCTTATGCTGATCATTGTTTTTATTTTGTTTAGTAAAATTTCATGATATTGATAATGCTATTCATTTGTTCTGTTCAGTAACAGAAAAGAACAGTTTTATTTGTACAGCACTGTTCAAAGGTAAATGCTATTTTTTTTTTGTGTTACTAGATATTTGTTATTTTTAGGTTTAATATCTAATAATATGCCAGAAAAAGTCTTAGATTTATTTGATGAAATGACACTTAAATCTGACAAGTTTATTCTGGCAGTTTTATTCAATGCATGTGGTCAAGTTGCTAATGATCGAGCAATAAAGATTGGAAAAAAACTGCTTGATGATATGTTAAATAATTATCGAAGTGACACCATCTTATTAAATTCAGTATTGGATATGTTAATGAAATTTAGTCATGTTCTAAATGCTGAACGTATTTTTTATTCAATCAAAAAGAAAGATATTGTTACATACAGTGTTATGATGAAAGGTTACATTTCTTAAATAGTTTCTCGAATATTGTCAGATTTAATTTAGGATATGTTAGAAATAAAATGTATGGAAAAGCTTTGGATTTATTTGAAAAGATAAATTCAAAGTTAAATGATGTAACTTACACTATTATGTTTAATGCATGTTCTCAACTTGCCAATGATCGTTCAATAAAGATTGGAAAAAAAGTTCTTCATGAAATGCCTGATATTCATCGAAATAATAATGTTTTATTAACTTCAGCATTAGATGTGTTAATGAAATTTGGTGATGTTCAAGGTGCTGAAGATGTTTTTAATTCAATCAAGACAAAAGATATTATTACTTATAATGCTATGATGAATGGTAATATAAATTAATTAGTTTTTCGAATATTGTCAGATTTAATTTAGGATATGTTGGAAATAAAATGTATGGAAAAGCTTTGGATTTATTTGAAAAGATAAATTCAAAATTAAATAATGTAACTTATATTATTGTATTTAATGCATGTGCTCAACTAGTCAATGATCGAGCAATAAAGATCGGCAAGAAGCTTCTGCATGAAATGCCTAATAATTATCAAGATAATACTGTGTTATTAAATTCAGCAATAGACATGTTAATGAAATTTGGCGATGTTCAAAGTGCTGCTCGTATTTTTGATTCAATCAAGACGAAAGATATTATTACTTATAATGCTATGATGAATGGTAATATAAATTAATTAGTTTTTCGAATATTGTCAAATTTAATCTAGGATATGTCAGAAATGAAATGTATGAAAAAGCTTTGGATTTATTTGAACAAATCAATTTCAACATAGATGATGTAACTTATACTATTGTATTTAATGCATGTGCTCAACTAGTCAATGATCGAGCAATAAAGATCGGAAAGAAACTTCTTGATGAAATGTCTAGCATTCATCGAAATAGTACTGTCTTATTAACTTCAGCAATAGATATGCTAATGAAATTCGGTGAAGTTGAAAATGCTGAACGGTTTGTTAAATTCGTAAGAAACAAAAATATTATGACTTATGGTGCTCTAATGAATGGTTACAATATTAATAATGAACCGTGGAAATGTTTGAAGATTTTACAAGAAATAAAACAAACGGATATTGTTCTAAATGTGATCATATGGAATATAGTTATTGGATCATGTTCACAAATTGGTATGATTCGACAAGCTGAATATATAAGCAATCAAATTCCTTTACATATTCAAAATGAAAAACAAATACAAACTTCAATGATTCATATGTGGGTAAGTATTGATTGTTGATTTTCATTGAGTAGATGATTTTATTAATCATTTATTTGTGTTTTTCTTTTATTATTTAGAGCAAATGTGGTTCTATTATAAAGGCCCAAAATATGTTTAAATCAGTTTATGATCGTGATACAGTGACATACAATGCGATGAGTAAGCATATTTATTTTTGTTTTTCTATAATATTGAATAAATCATTATTGAAGTTAATGGATTTGGACTTAATGGAATGGGTTCTGAAGCAATTGAATTATATAGAGAGATGCCAAATAATCTACATGATGAAATTTCACATATTTGTGTATTAAATGCATGTTCTCATTCAGGTCTTCTTCATCAAGCTCAGAATATATTTAAAGAAATTAATTTGAAAACAGAAAAAATTGTAACTGTTATGGTTTGTTTGTCTATTGATTTATTTATTTTTTATTTTAGTTATGATTATCTTATATTTAAGATTGATTGTTTAAGTCGTTTATTTTTATTTGATGAAGCATTAAATATGATAGATGAATATGAGAAGAAAAACTCACCGTATTTTGTCATGTATAGTAAGTTTTTTTGTTATAATAATATATTGATATATTGTTTATTAATGTATTTATTATTTTCATCTTAGTGTGTTTATTATCTGGTGCACGTAATAATCACAATAAGAATTTATCTGAAAAGATATTTAATCGAATGAAATATTTGTTTCCTGATGAGAAAGAACGTCTTGTATCAGGTGTAGTTCTTCTATCAAATATATATTCAAGTGTTGGTGAACATGAATTAGCAAAAAACTTTCGATCTAGACAAATAAAAGAATTAGGAAGAAAAGTCAAAAAAGGTTTATCATGGACTGATGCAAATGGTGAAATAGTGGTAAAAAAAAACTTGTTAATTGTTAAAACATTAAAAAAAAATTTGTTGATTTTCTAGGCATTCAAAGCTCATGATCATTCTCATCCTCGATCCAAGGAAATCCATGCTGAAGCTGATCTTATACAACGTGAATTAATTGAAGATGGTTACAAGTGTGATTCTTCTTGGGTAACTCGTGAAATGCAGGAAGAAGAAACTATCGAATCAGTTTTATGTGGTCATAGTGAAAGATTAGCAATAGCCTTTAATTTTATTCAACGACCTATTCCAGAATTTATTCAAATTACAAAAAATCTTCGTGTTTGTGGTGATTGTCGTAAGTTAAATTATTTCATGGCGATCGTTCTTAACAATCAATGCATAATTTTTTTTTGTCATTTCAGATGAAACTACAAAACGAATAGCAAGAATTCGAGAACGTGAAATTATTGTTCGTGATGCTAATCGCATTCATCATTTTTATAAAAATGGACAGTGTTCATGTCAGGATCATTTTTGATTTGTTTTATTTTTGTTGTTGTTATGCAGTTATTATTCTGTTTGCATATATTATGTATTTTGAATACACTTTAAAAAAGAAATAGAAAAAAAACATTAATTTGTATTGATTTAAACTAAAAGAAGTCAAAATTAATTACATAAGATTCACTACACATATCGGAATAAGCAAACAAAACTATAGAAGTCGAATTTACTGATTTATTCGTGTCAAAAAAATAACATAAAATATTTTTATTATCATAAATCAATAATTTATTGATAGTTAATTCTAACTAGATTTTCTTAAACTTATAAAACAATCGATATTGTTAAAATACAAAAGCTTTTGCTTACGAATTATTTTATATGAAATATTTCATTAAACTATTTTTTTCTTCTCTCATATATACTTTTATGTGATTCAAGCCAACTGATGAGTCCTTTAGCAGGGACGAAATTTAGATCCTGGCAGCTATATCACACCTGCTGATCATAATTATATGTTACGTTGTCGAGTATCAAATGAAGCGAGTATTCATGAAACAAATGTTGATGTTAAACTTGATGTTTTATGTTAGTTTAAGATAAAAATAAA